GACAAAAACCAAAAAAAAAAAAAGAAACCATTCACATGGAATATCTGGATCAGTCGATGGCGATTATGAGAAAGCCCACAGATACATACATGAGCAAGACTGGGTAAAGTGCAAGAGCTTTCCTTCTTGGGTTAACGGCAGTGCTCATGAACGGGTAAGCAGCCCAAGAGCTCCACGCCAACGTGAGAGCCACCACAACTACTTTGACGATTACATTGCTGTTGAGCATGCAAATCAAGGCACCAATGTCCAGAGGGAACAGACAGTAACCTAGAAGGCTCAGGCTCTGAAAGAAGATAATTTGGCCACCCTGAAACCAATTTGGTATTTTATTTATATTAATGATTTGCCATACAAAATTGCTAAACTACAGCGGAAGGGAAATTTGGTATTCAACTGCAATCATTAGAGAGAGAGAGAGAGAGAGAGAGAGAGAGAGAGAGAGAGAGAGAGAGAGAGAGAGAGAGAGAGAGAGAGGAGGGGAGATAGTACCAGCAGCAAAACATTCAAGGTCAAAATGACAGCTCCTGCTGCAAGCAGTGCAAATGCAACAGCAAAAACCTCAGACTGCAAAAGGGAGAAGACCATTAGCATTTAAAAATGAGGTTGTAACAGGTTCTTAGGTTTGTTATATGCATGATTCAATGTTCTGAATTCGATACCCATCATTTTCCCCAGCTTCAAGCCAAAGGAGAACAAAAAAACAGGCAGAGAACATATTACAAAAGGAAAGATTTCTTAATCTATTACAACCTCGCTGGAAGTACTTTCCAAAGGTTGGCTAATAAGCTAATAAGTCGAGTTTCCGACCTCAGGAAAAAGAGGGAACAATCTTTCACTAGTCACTAATTCCCAAATCCAAAATCCAAACCCATGTTTGCTAATCTTGAAACTTGCAAGGGTGCGGAATACTAGAATGAAGTTACACAAAGTTTCATCATGAGGCCGTAGATGAAAATATCACCTCTTGTGCACAAGGATAACCTTAACTGAAGAAAATAATGTAAGACATCAAACAAGAAGATACTCAAGGCTTGTGCCTAACATCATCACAGAAACATTGCAAACACCACTCACCTTGAGGTTAATAATGCTATACAGTCCAGAGGACCAGAAATAATAGAAACAAGACAGAGAATCAGAGTAACCTTTTGTCAATCATTAACATTTGTCCAATTATCATAAGTGGACCAAACTGGATTGTAATATTCCGGACAATGTTCGATGTTGCATGTCCTTATTGACGATCAACTCACATATATTCAATCATGTCAAAACCAACAAGAATATTAAAGATCTATGTAATGCTTCAGAATAAGATTATGTTAAGGTTTGCATTAACAGTTGGTCTCGCTAAATTTAAACATGTGCACAAGTGTTGTCAAATTTCCACCATAGCAGTATGGAGTAGCAGATGTCTGCCTAATCGCCATTAGATGGCGGTTAGGGTGGCGCCACAGACGACCGTGGAAGCTGCTATAGGGGGATTTCAGCTTGCCGTAAATTTTCCTCAATCCACCATTGATAAAACTGGTGTACAATAGTGTTTCTTGTTGAAATAATATCAGAGAATGATCAGCAAAGAGACTCCGTTTTTAAACAACTCAATAACCCTGTTTTCAGAGCTACTGGCTTTGATAGAAACACCAAAAGATAGTGAATGCACATACTTTTAGAAATACAAACAAGAAATAAAGAAGTGCCAACACTTTTTTCCATTCAAACAGTTGAGCAACTAAAAGCACAATACTCCAAAATGGAACTTCATCCACATTCATTAAATTATGTAACCAGGAAATTGGGGAAGAACCACAAGACCATGAAACATCAAACAAGATACACACTTGTGATTTGTGAACCCATACAACATCAAACAATTGGTCTACTTTAGTTCCCCACAAATGAATTAACACGCCATGTACGGTGGTACCTTTTCCAGGGGCATTAACTTCTTCTAGTTAATATTTAGAATGCCAACATCCAGCCAAAAATTCTGATCACGGTACATTAATGATTAATATAAAACATTTTAACAATTCTTTTACTCCACCAAATCTCCCACCTCCCACATCCCACCCAGTCTATTTTGTAGCCACAATGGCCCAATGTTCTTCTGATTTTTTCCATCAACAGAAAGAATTTACTGGCAAATAACTACTTGACAAAAGAAAACATTACCTCATCTACTTCGATAAAGAAATTACACACGCAGGACAGAAAATTAGATCTGTTGAGATGATGGTGTTTTGCTCTTGGAGTTCATGAGATTGCATGCTCACTTGCATGGCTTTTATGTTCACAGTTTTCATTTCAACTTTCCCGGTTTTCTTTTTACGTTTTTTATTAGTTGGTTTGTTGAAGTTGCTACTCTTACTTACAGAGTTGTGCTAGTGTATCTTTCGTGTTGCGTTTTATTGAGCCTCGAACTGTCGTGCTGTGATTGGTCCAAGGACTCACATGCAAAGCATGATCGTCGTCCTCCTCCTTGTATAAGAACAAGTTTGCTTTCTCATTTCGGACTAATGAAGATATTCAGAAAACACATTAAATCGTTCTTAGCTTTTCAAATCGATTTTATCCTTCTCAACATGGTATCTAGAGCAGGTCTTTGAGTAGATCATGGCACGCAATCGAGAAGATCATGAGAAAGAAATTGTGGGTAAATACAACTATTCCAAGGACATCGATCCTTTATCCTTTATCACTTCATGGCTCAGATCATCCTGGAATGGTGCTCGTCACAAATCAGCTGAATGGATCAAATTATCTTCATTAGAGTAGAGCAATGAAACTTGCTTTGGGAGCCAAATCCAAGCTCGGTTCATTTATGGCACAATTGAGGTACCAGATCTGAACAAAGGAGTACGAGTAGTTTCAGAAAGTGGAATTCATGGTAATCTCTTGGCTTTTGAACTCTATTTCCAAGGAGATTGTAGAGGCTTTCATATATGTTAAGAGTTCAAAACAGTTGTGCGACGAGCTAGCTGAAAGATATGGTGAATCCAATGGACCTTTATGGTATCAATTACAAAAGGAAATTGCCAATTTCACTCAAGGTTCCTTTTCAGTAATTGTGTATTACACGAAGCTAAAGTGTCTATGGAATAAATATTTCTGCCTTGTGTCTATACCTAATTGTGAGTGTGGATCAGGAAAGAAGTTTCATTAAAATGATATGGAGGTTAAACTAATGAGATAAGGATGTAAGAATGTTAATGATATAAGTTTGTGGCATAGAAGGCTGGGACACAGCTCCATTTCTTGCATGAAAATATCAGTTTTTGGAAGGGAGATTGTTTGGAGAATACACTTCCAGGCTGTGGTGTTCGTCACAAAAGGTAAGCAATGTAGACAGTCCTTTCCACTGAGTGAGATAAAAACTCTTAATAAGTTTGAATTGTTGCACATAGATGTTTGGGGTTCATATCATTGAGAAGCCTGTGACCAATACATCTTACATGCATACCATTGTGGATGACTTGACAAGAGGAACCTGGGTTTTTCTTTTGAAACAAAATCAGAGGCTATCATCTATGTTGGATTCTTCCTCAAAATGGTGAAAACTCAGTTTGCTGTTGTGGTTAAACAAATAAGAACTGATAATGGTCTAGAGTTTATTAACAAAGAGAAGGAGATGGATATTTTGCTCAAGGAGAATGGCATCTTACATCAAAGGTCATGCCCATATACTCCACAACATAATGGGGTTGTGGAGAGAAAACATAGGTCAATACTTAAAATTGCTAGATCTATCACCTTTGAAGCAAACTTGGACAAGTCTTTATGGCCTTACAGTCTTTTGGCAGCAATGCAAGTCCTCAACTGTTTGCCAAGTGAAAAGCTTGTATGGAAATGTCCCTACCAATTACTTCATGGCACACCACCTGTTTATGATAATCTGAAGGTTTTTGTGCTATGCAGTGAAGCCTGAGTCATATAAAAGAAAGTTTGATTATAGGGCTGCCCCTTGTGTGTTTTTGGGATGTCACTGGAGTAAAAGGATACAGGATTTATAACATTGACTCAAAGGAAGTTTTCCTTTCAAGAGATGTTATATTTTATGAGAATGAATTTCCTTTACATGATGGATTGAAGACAGAAGCTCCTACTTTCTCCTAAGTGAAACTTTACGGCTGACTCTTACACTGAATCCACTCAAGATATTGTTGAGACCACTGATGTTAGTACACAGGCACTTGCAGGTAAGTGAATGAGAAAACCACCCAGTTGGTGGTCTGGTTATGTGATTAATACAGCTCTTCATTGTGATGGAGACTTGTCTGAAAAGTTACTTTTTGTTGAGGTGGACAAGAGTACCACTGAACCTGCGTTTCATGAGCAAGTTGTAATTGATGAAAGGTGAGTGGAAGCCATGAACAAGGAGATACAAGCTCTAGAGGCTAATCAGACCTGGGTACTTGCTCAACTTCCCAAAGGAAAAAAGGCTATAGGCTCCAAATGGGTATACAAAGTTAAGAAAACTCCTTATGGCAGTGTGGATAATTCAAAGCTAGGTTGGTTGCTAAGGGCTACTTACAAAAAGAGGGAGTGGATTTTTTTGGGAGTTTTTCACCAGTTGCTAAACTAGTGTCTGTAAGGCTACTCATTGCTTTGGCAACTCGAAGGAGGCTAGAACTTCATCACATTGATATCAATAATGCCTTCTTCTTGCATGGCTTCTTGGATGAGAAAGTGTACATGCAACCACCACAAGGATATTTCAAAGCAAAACCAGGTGAGGTGTGTTTGTTAAAGAGGAGCTTGTATGGGCTCAAGCAAGTATCTAGACACTGAAACCTCTGATAAACTCTTGGCTTATGGTTTCTCTCAATCGAACCATGATCATTGCCTCTTCATTAAAGGGACATATATGCAATTTCTAGCCCTCTTGATTTATGTGGATGATGTGCTTAATGCAGGGAGTTCTTTGACTGCTATTAATGATCTAAAGGCCTACCTTAATGATCTGTTTAAATCAAGTACTTCTTGGGATTGGAGATTCATAGAGATGACAAGGGAACCTCCATTAATCAAAGGAAGTATATCCTTAATATCATCAAAGACATTGGACTAGAAGACTCCAAAACAGTGATAACTCCTTTTCCTCGGGGTTTGAATCTTTCTAATCAAGCATCTCCTTTGTTTCATAATTCAGAAACTTATAGAAGATTAGTGGGGAGGTTGCTCTATCTCAATCTTTCAAGGCCTGATATTTCTTTTGCTATTCAACTTAGCCAATTTGTTCATGCTCCTACACAATCTCAATGGCAAGTTGCTTTACATGTTAAATATTTGAAGGGCACTCCCACTTTGGGTCTTTACTACAAAGCTCAATGTTCTTCCTATCTAGAGGCATACTGTGATGCGGACTGGGGGAGCTTCTGCCTCACTAGGCAATTTTTAACCGGGTTTTGCATTTTTCTAGGCGATGCCTTGATTTCTTGGAAAGCAAAAAAACAAAAAACTGTTTCCCGCTCCTCAGCTGAAGATGAATACAGGTCAATGGCCTCCACTGTATTTGAACTTCAATAAATCACTTACATTGTGCAAGAGTTGTGTGTGCATTTGTCTCTTCCTATTCATCGCTGGTGTGACAACAGGTTGCGCTTCATATCACAACAAATCATGTCTTCCATTAAAGGACTAAACACCTCGACATCGACTGCCATGTGGTACGGAATAAGTTCAAGGAAGGGTTCGTTCTCCCACAACACATTTCTGGTTCTTCTCAGCTTGCAGACTTGTTTACCAAATCTCTTGGTGGCGGAATGTTCTTACGCTTTCTGTCGAAGTTGGGAATGTCCTCCACTTGCCCCATTCCCACTTGAGGGGGGGTTGTTGAGATTATGGTGTTTTGCTCTTGGAGTTCATGAGACTGCATGCTCACTTGCATGGCTTTTATGTGCACAGTTTTCATTTCAACTTTCCCGGTTTTCTTTTTTACGTTTTTTATTAGTTGGTTTGTTGAAGTTGCTACTCTTACTTAAAGAGTTGTGCTAGCTTTTATCTTTCCTGTTGCGTTTTATTGAGCCTCGACGTGTCGTGTTGTGATTGGTCCAAGGACTCACATACAAAGCATGATCGTCATTCTCCTCCTTGTATAAGAACAAGTTTGCTTTCTCATTTCGGACTAATGAAGATATTCAGAAAACCCAAAATAAATTGTTCTTAGCTTTTCAAATCGATTTTATCCATCTCTACAAGATCAAACAAAAAGATCTATTCCTTCTAGACTAACGACCAGAATTTGAGGACACCGTTAGTACAATATTCATGCATCATTACAACCTATAACTTAAAATCACACAGTTTTAACTTTTAAGCCATTCATATTTCATTTCTAGAGTCTCTAACGAAAGAATAGCCGCATCAACCTCATTCACAGACAACAGTAATTAGACTAAAAATTCCAGTAGTGTATTACTTTCAGATGACCACAAGATAACTAATATCTAATACCTTATAAACTCACTGTCCTGAATGTTTAATTGGCTCGTTCGACAAACTACGCCTCACTCACACCACATCGATATAAGGGACATAAAACCAAGCATTTCATAGATCCTTACATAACATATCATCTACGGGAGGCATCAAAACTAAAATTTCACAAACCTTCTCAACAGATGCAGACCAAGAGAGCACGAGGCCTAGGAACACAATGAAGAAAAAGGGTCCCCATAGATCCCAGTCCCTCAACGCCATCCCGGGATCCTCCCTGAACGGGTTGGGGAAAACGACGAGCTTCAAATTGCTGACTATCCTCGTCAAATCCCGCATGATGGTGTCCCAGACAGGCTCCGTCAGGGTGTTTGGGGCGGGCCCGAACCCGGAAGAGGCAATGCTGCCCCCGCTGCTGGTGGATCCACGTGGAGGGGGGACGGGGGGTTTGGGGGCGGCTGAGGGGACGGGCGCAGGTTTGGAAAAGGAGGGAGGAGGGATGTTAGAGGGGGCAAACGAAGGAGGTGGCGGAGGGTTGGAGGAGATGGGGATGGAGGCGCGTGGAGGCGACGCGGGGCGGACGGAGGAGGGGTAGGAGTTGATGAGGTTCTCGATTTCGTCAATGTCCGATTGGGAGCTCGGGTGGAGGGGGATCGTGTCGCTGTGAGACATTGTGTGTGTTTTCGTCGGGATTAGGTTTCGAAGAAATAAGGTCCGGTGAGGATTGAGGCCAGACTACGGTGGTGTAACGCTATGGGATGATCAGAAGCGAGGTGGAGGAGAGAGAGAATGGGGTTTCATTTTGCCTTTTTGTCAATGAAAATGGAAGTATTACTACTGAAGTTTAACATATACACACCAAAATTAGAACGTGTACACTTAGACGATTGAATGTAAATAAAATCGGTTTTATTGAGTATCCACAATGTTTTGGGTCTCTTTTTGTATATGTGTCAAATAAATAGACTTAAGTTCATAATGACAACAAACTCAAGCTAAAAAATTCAAAATCTATCCAATGTAAAACAAAAAAGTACTAGGTCTAGATTACTAAATAACCAATTAAAATATAGTAATAATAAATGCATACAAAGAAAATGTGTTTTGCCTATTAAAAAAAATTTTGAACAATTAATGACTAAGCGGGTTTGCATTTGGGTCCAAAATAGACTCAAATGTGGACTTGGTCTCTTTTTTCTAGTGTCACATAAGTTAGACTAGGTTCACTTTTAATTGCATTGTGAAACATTTTTTTATAGACTAAGTTTATTTCCTACATGGCATGTGATTTTTTTTCTAAGAGACTCAAAGCATTGTGGGTGCTCTTAAAGTGACCTATTTTGGTAATCTCTCACCCCCTCTTCTCTCTCTCCAAAAATTTCCATATGCAGAAGAAAAAAATTCAGTTCTGTTAGCCCCCTTCATTTCGCGGAGACCGAATTCAGT